CCCATACACGGCCTGCTAGCTGCTCTGCACAGCTCCCTGCCGGACAATCCCAAGTATCAGCGCTAAAACAGCGCAGAGTTCCGGCCCTGCCGAGCTACTAGAATTTTGTCTCTGTATCTGCCATGGCGCAGCGCAGTTTTAGGGATAGATGGCCGGTTATTGTTTCACGGCTCCATCCTGCTAAAGCGCGACCAGCCCGGCTAAACCCGGCGCCGGTCTCGGCTCAAAATTTTAACTGGGATCTGTAGCTGCTGAACGTGACTTTACAATCTCATGACTTCAAGTGAAGACAAACTCACATGTGGCTACCTTTTCTGGAAGGTCAAGTTAGTGAGCATGTTAACATCTAACTCAAAATTTAGTTCATTAGAGAGAATTTGGCTTTCCATATGATTGAAAATCAATAAATTTATCAAGACATCTTACAAATTTAGAATTAATGTACGGATACGAACACAGATGCGATAAATGTGTCTGGTTCCCAGCAAGCGAGTTTTAACCGTCCTTAACATCAGATGCACACTCGGGGTCAAGTTAATGAGACTCGTGACTCATGAGAACTGTTAACCGCAGATCAAGGTACTCACCCAGATCGATGGGATGCCAGGAGGTGTCGGGTGCTCATGCGTCGGGTTCTCTGGTGCCCCAAAAGAGGGTTGCCGTTGGGGCTAGTTAGGGCCCGGCGTCGCTTAGGTAGACTGGATACGTTGCCAGGCGCCACAGGGGCACCCAGTGCAATAGGTCGGCGCTTGAGCGGCGGCAAAGAGTTCGCATTGTTCTGATATCTCGTCAAACTTTTGCCGTCCGCAACAGGCCTTGAGACAGTTTCAGGGTTTTCTTCAGAGCGCCCAAGAGCAAATAATAAAACAAGGGAGACGGCAAGGATAGGATGTAGTCGAGATGGGTTTAGTGAATAAAACATCTTTGCTAATTTGAAAGGCAATATATTGCAAAATGTGGACGGGCAATCGAGCCTTCAATCCATTAAAAAATCAATTTAGTTCATTTAAATCATTTTGAACAACAGTTGCCTTCCAATTATTGACCAGAAACTTCCCTAATTATAGAGATCTGCACAAGAAACATTGCATAAATCACATCTTATAACATAATGGAACATAGAAAATTCAAGCCTTAATATAACCTCTCATTGAACTCTTTTTGAACAATATGATTAAAAAAATTATTCAAATAAATTAAAAAAAGTATTTAGTATACGAGTAAAATTCAGAGGCACATATATATATAGGCACATTATAAGAAGACTAACCTAATCAAGCTATTGAGATACGAGTATTGCAGAATGGATGATGAAGAATTATATAATTTTATTGTGATACTAGCTCTACCTAAACGCGACTGAAACCCCTACGAGATATCAAAATAAAATTCAGAAATGTAATAAATACAACTCGGCAAGATCATGCATGGCTCAGGAAACACAATAAGCAACTATAAAAAGACGAAAATGCGAGAATTTATAACACGGATGAAGTGCAGAACGGTGAATTTTCTAAATACAAGTACAAGGAACATAGTTGAGCTAGTCAACTGGAAGGAAGTTCTCTTCCCTTCCAAAACTAAAGTCAAGCACGTATTCATAAACAACTTTTAGATAATTGTGCTATATAACTGCACTCTCATACTAGCTTCATCTTGAATTTCAAGATGCTTGTTCGACCCGCAGTATTAAATATTTCTCGCCACCACAATTTGTCCGATTTTTTAAATATACTTGCAATATAAACCAATTAAGGTCAGTCTTCATCGAGACATTCGTGGCAACTGAACCTTTTTTCAGTGAACTTAACTGAAATTCCTCACATTGCACTCTAGCTCAACTGACAACTCTTAAGCAATAAAGATTAAAGAAGCTGTAAGATCCAGCTGGATTGATGGATTGCATTGTTGATGGAGGATGTGATAGCCGTAATTGCAGCTTCTCAAGTCTGAACTGCGCGGGCACACTCGTAAATCAGCAACTGCTGTTTGCATTTACAGCGGCAGTGCAAATATGGCAGGCTGCTCTAAAAGAAGTCAGACTTCACTGAAGAACATTTACAATCAACGACTGATAAAATGTCTGGGTCACTCCTTTCTTAGAATTGCAATTCACGGGTAAAATAATTCTTCTGAAATTAATTATTTAAAAAAGAAAAAATATTCAGAAATTATTTAGAATAAAAGGATCGAGGAGTAATCAAGATTTTTGTCATAGCAAACAATCTCATTGTTCTAATATGTAATTAACTTTGTATGATATGTAATCTAATATGTAAACAAGAGTCTTAGCCGCAACCAACAGTTCATTTTGTTCTTATTTGATGAACTTTAATTTAATCGTGACACTACCAATGATTGAGCTCCTAAAATCATTTTCTTAATCTAAGCAAGCTTGCAAGCCTTATCAGTTGCGGGTGGTTACAATTGACTGTCATGAGGATTAATTCAGGAGAATTTTCAACTGCAATAACTTTTAGGAAGAAGTTGCTGATAAAGCATGAAAATCTCTTCATATATCAGACGACATAAATTTTCAGACAATGTTTATTTAACTAGATAATGTTCATGACTGAAAAGTTGAATAATTTAAGAAAGCATTATTATCATTATGCAGCTAATAACTATGCACAACAATCCGGCTCAAGTTATAGGAAAGAATGAATATCACGTTGAGCAATTTCCATTAACATGCCCTGTTAAACGATATAAAATGGGTTTTAAGACTTTGGCATCTTAAGATTATAAAACAAGATATCGAAATTGAAGATCATGTATACATGACGCAGTCTGGAGGTCTTGTTTTCATTGTGTTGCTGCACGCAAGCAAGCAACATGATAAAGTTGCCAGTGTATATTCATCAAGGAGTTTTCGTGTTAAGCACAACAAATGCTGTGAAAAAAAAAAATCAGCTCAATAAACGGACCTCCTAGACAGCTTCTCGCAAGAATTATTAAGTATAAAACTCTGCGGGAGGTCGCCCAAGCAGGGCGAAATTTTTTCGTCCAGCTAAGCTGCTTCTCGTTGCGGTTTATTTACTTCATAATGCGAGGAAATTTCTGACCTATACCGGATACCAAAAATAGGCCAATATTAGAACGAAAATTGCGTCACAACTCTTGCACATTTTAAGATAGTTTTTCGTAAAGTTTATATCAATAACAGCCTAGTTCTGACCAGTGTGGGTTCAATATATCCAATATAAGCGCTTCTTCCACATAAAAACCATCAAGATGAAAGGCGCGGCAAACACATATGCTGCGAGCAATTTAGCATCCTGAACTGTCAGTCTAGGAGTATCTGATCGAGACACACACTTAACATCGAGCTAAATATGGTCGAAATGAGCTCATGGAGATTCCGTACCAGTTCTTGGATCTCCTGCATTCAGCAATAAAGTGCTTGCTCGGTGTGGATATAGGAGTGCCTACAGTCACCCAACAGGCACTCCAACCTAAAACTTGAGCGAAACTAAATACCACGTACAAAATAAACAACAAAAAGTAAAATAAAAAGGCTATCGTACTTCTTCCTAACAGTTCTCCTGCAGAGCTCGCAAAAAGTTTTAGATTCGAGGCGCGCGCATCTTGCGCGATATTCTCTCGATCAGACGGCAAGGAATTAATATCGTACTGCCGCAGGTCGTGCGATCGTCTGCATAATTAAGCTGCTATAATTCGGACAGTTTAATCAAGCGTGGCTGTTCGAGCTATCGCGTGCGATCCACAATATTAGGACTCAAGCAAGCCAGTGAGATACGTTCGTTAGGATATTATTCTTTGTGAAGAAAAAATTTTATCACTAGTGCATTAAAATCTAGATCTCGGATTATAAATTGACGCTCATTGGAGAAATCTAATGCATCTTTTCTCAACCTTCAGGAGCTACTATCTAAGAGCAACTACTACTCGTCCTCGTTCAGAAAATGATTAATGAAATATAGAGGCTAAAAAATGCACTATATATTAAAGATCGTTCAATTCCAACAACCGAAACCGCTCGCTTTCATGAAACATCCATAGCATTCAATCAAGTCGAGTAAAAAAGTTTTGACTAATGTGAATCAACAGTCGAGCCGAACACAAGCAATAAATTGCCAACCCTTACAATTGAAAGCAATGTACTTGTGAACGGCCTAAGGCTGCTTTTCCACCACGATCGAATGGCTCAACTCAAAAGGTGATCGCTCCCAAATATCACTTGACGCAAGAAGAATTTCATCAAAAACAAGAATAAACGTTTCTAGGCGTGGAAAATGAGCACAATGAATTCAACTGAACGAAGGATACGTTCGTGAATGAGGGTATTTACCATACATACGAGCTCTAAACGCAATGTCGAGATAAAGCCGACGTTTGGAATAATCTTTTGTACGAGTAACCGGTCTTGCATATAATATCCTACTTGAGCCGGCAGCTTTGCCTTGCATATGTTTGTAGCCATGATGAAGTTAGATATTCAAGCATGCATACATTATTCAACACTCGGGTAACGCCACATAAAAATATAAATGTATTTTATGCATATCATTACTAGACGTACATTAACATTAATTACGAATTCATCTATACCATATTGGAAAAGACACCAGCGCGGATCGATTCAATACTATATTTATCTCAATAATACGAAAAAATTCTAACTATACAGGGAAAATAAAGATATTCAATGCTTAGAATCTTCCGTTTCGAAGTAATGAATTATATTCAGTTCCGTTACCAATAAAATTGTAGTTTAGAAACTATATGGTACGTAACTAATTTAATTTCTACTCGACGAAACAAAGGTTCGATCAGGAATTATCGTGTTATTAATTCATTTTTGTTTCACATTTTACGTTTTTTTCAAGGACGGTAAGTAAGTCCTTGTCTGGATTTTAGTCTGGATATTTTTGATGGAATTTAAGGCCTTACGGATGTTTTAAGAACTTCAACGCTCTAGTTTAGGTTACCGGTACCTAAAAAATCTATTGACTAATATTTTGACCTCGATCTATATAAGCTAATTTTCATCGTAATTTTTTCGGTAACTATTTTCATGAAACTAATTTGACTCTTACCTGAAAAATATCCCTGCCTTAACTAGCTAGATACCTTTCCTGACTAGATATCCCTATCTAACCTGACTAGATATCCAAACCTAGCCGACTAAAAAATCCTACCTATACAACTGGCATCACCAGTTGTTCCACTGTCAATCTCACGGCAACGCACATCAGTTACAAGTCCTCTTCGCTTGCAAGATAATTTCCATCTAAAGTTTACCGATCTATCCAAGCGCCAGATCCACTCCTCGCAAGCCATTAATTTCGGGGACATTCTTGCTTAAAAAGGACAACACGCTGCGAGTGGACTCGACACTCAATTGGAAATGGCTAGCGGCTAGCAGAGTTCAAATGGCAACAGGGTTTGTTAATGTTAACGTCAGAAATGGAGCTGCGAGACAATGTGGAAGTCGTGACGTGCATAGCATTCAAGAAGAGTCTTTAATAATAGAAAGTGTTTATGATGCGGTATTTAAGCGCTTGTCCCAGCACTTAAAAATTGTAATATTATCCGACTTTAGTTGAAACCGAATAAGAACTGACCCGACTAGCTAGTAACGTGAATCATTAATTAAAAAAAATGTTGTCAGCAGATTTGAATCCGCGTGCATGCATTTTTTTACTTTATTATGATTACTTTTTACTTTATTCACTTAATTACTTTATTCGTGCATTTAATATGACCAATTTAGTTAACAACATGAATTTACTACTTTCTATACGATATCTCTCTATTCCTATCACAATGAAACAATTTTCAGCTCAAGATATTTATCATATGCATGAAACACATTTGTATATTTACAATGAAACCCGAGTTAAAATGATTTTATTACGTATATATAGTAGCAGGTTAGCTCAGCGTTTTCCAGTATAGATGATCATTCCTATTTCAGTTTCTCCGTAATTACGAAACCGGTCATCCCGAACCCATCATTCCAAGTCCAGTAAATAATTCGAAACTCAAGTACCGTAATTTAAGAGAGACCCGTTCATATACCACGGAAGCCACACTCAAAACCTATTTA